TGGGTTATATTTGTGATTCATTCCAGTTACTCTGAGCAGTTTAGACCAGCTGACATGATTTTAAGCTAAATTGGCTGAAATATGGCAGCACATTCTGTTGCCTTTAAATTGCGGAAACTGCACTAATACAGTGGGGTGAATGAAAACTCCATAAATAAAGAAACGTGAGATGAGATAATACCCTAATAGAAGTGGCGCCCCCTAGCCCCTGTTTACCCTTCCTAGGTGAATGCCAACCTTGAACAAATGCCAACAAATGAAACAAGCTAGTGATGGCCTAATGAAGCGTAATGAACCTTTTGCTGTATTTTTGACCCCACTAGATGGTGCTGTTGGTTTGCGTTGGGGCATGCTTTGAGGCCTTTTATGAGCAGAGAGCACCATCTAGTGGGGTCAGAAAATACAGTAAATGGTTCATTTAGCTGCATTAGGTCATTACTAAAAAAACGTTGATTTCTTGGCTGCCCTCAGGAACGGTTTTACAGTGAATTTAGTCAGTTGGTTAAGGCTTCTGTACTAAGTACAGACATTTCTAACGTGTCCTGTATTTTAATGTACACTATATAACCAGGGCTGCCCAAGCCTGGTCTTGGTGATCTACCCCCCTGCAGAGCTTAGGCGCGGCCCTAATTTAACACACCTGATACAGATAATCAGGCCCTTCAGATGCATCTCAGGATTACAGCCAGCTTAGCTTCAACATAGCTGAGTCTGATACTGGGGTGCTGCTGAAGTGCCTGATTATCTGTATCAGGTGTGTTAAATTATGGCTGTACCTCAGCTCTGCAGGGGGGTAGATCTCCAGGAGCAGGGTTGGGCAACGCTGACGTAACCCCACCTCAGAGGGTAGTGTCCCTATGCACTGGGCCCTCCCTAGCTGTCAAATCCTAGAATCGCCCCTGGTCTGCCCTGTAGTTATGACACCATCAGCTGGTTAAGAGAAACTGAAAATGGGAGAAAGGATGGATTGTCATAGAGCATCATTGTGAAGGTTTGGATTGTGATTAATTTGCCCTCGGGAAAGGATGAATCTTCATTGCTTTCCTTAGAACTGGGTGACGGCGGTTAATAGTGGATCGGATCACATGACATTCCTACCGCTTCTGACATGTATGATGCTATTGAGAGAGAACTGGATTAACTGGAAAAAATAAGACAACACATACAATCAACAGTCTTTTTGTATTTTACTTATTAGTCCCCAAATTCAGCATTGTCACCACGAAATCAATAACGTGTCAGAAAATGAAGACAGTTCATGCTGCTTTGCACATGGCACAGGAGGACAGACTGGTTTTAAAAAGTTGATCTGCAAATGATGGCGGCTATCAAACAGCTGTGCCAGACGCTTAGCCGAGTTGGTTATATTTTGCTTTCGAGGTCAGGCACCATGAGAAACTCCACACTCTGAGGAACACAAACTTTGAAACTTTAAGCACTGTGGTTTGTAACTAACAGCAGCTGCAGTAGCAGTAATGACATCTTCAGATGACATTTGACATCGTAAGAATAGAGACTGTGTTTATTAAAATTCTTCCTTCACTCCGTGTCCTTTTTTTGGAAAAGAAAATAACAACAGTGGAGGGAAATGAAGGCATCATGATCAACATACATTCTCCAGTGTCAACATGTACCAGTTATTACCAAGCTTCTCTTAGCTAACAAGAAGGATGGTTCATAGACCCGGGCCCCTTCCTTAATACACCTCTGAACAGGATGTGCCGGAGATTTTTCAGCGCCATTTTCTCTCCATGCCTTCACTGGCTATCTTTGGTGTCCATCTCCCGCTTCCACTCCTTGGCTTCAGAAGCTGTGCTCAGAGGTTTCAGAGGCTCCCCTCGGACCCGCCGTCTCTGTGTGAGCCGTCAGTGTGGCCCAGGCTCTCTGTCATGAGAAGGGCACCTCCCATCTTTGGGTGTAGGCGGACAGCTCACATGGGCTGATCACAAGCATCCGGCTGCTTTCGATGCCGTCTAGTGCCATCTCGCTGTCCAGGCAGAAGCTGGAGGCCAGGTGCTCAATGTGCGTGCCTGACTTCTGCCACCGCTGTAGGGCGAAACACAACACCGGTGTAAATCTCTGAAACATAAGATTACCACCACTTTGAATTCAGATGTATTTCACATGCTGACATTAGTTGTACTTAGGTATGCTGCTAATTAATTAAAACAGCCATAAAAATTCCCACGTAGCTTTTCATGTTCCTGCACTGACCCAACAGTGTTTATCAAAAAAGAAAACTTACTACTGATTAGAAACACCCCACAATAACAACTTGACCTAATACATTTGTGTGCCTTTCACCACAAGGTGTCACTGTTTTATTCTCAGAGATTTTTGGTAGCTGTATGAATGACATCAAAAGAATTTCAGCCTGAAGTCGATTGCAATACATCACTAGTCGGCTGTTATCTTAAAACGTCAGTTATTCCATAGTCTTTCAGTTACAAATTGCATGGCACTTTGAATTCACTGTGAAAATCAAACCTATTTTCATTTTGTTCGCCAACATTTTGTGTTGATCATTCCATTGAGCATGACTGAAAATGAAGAAATAATGTGAGTTATTGATAATTATTGATGTCTGTGGAAATTCTCCCTCAGCTTTGCTATTCCAGATTAAAGGGTCCGTGGTCAGACGTCCCACACATTTCTAGCTCGTATTAATTGAAAAAGAAAATTTGATTTAGTTTGATTAAAATAATTAGTATTCCGCACTTGCCGTGCGACCAAGTCATTCTTGTTACTAGTTGCTGAAGCATAATTGATACTGAGACACGTTTTCCGGGCCCTGCCTTGAACCTCGGCCTGAGGGAAGACGTCAACATATTTCTAATCAATTTCCACTCCACATCTCCATTCCTCAAGCCAGAGAGGGGTCTCGAGCTCAGAGAAGTGTCCTAAAAGGGGGATAAATCCACCACCAGGATCTCTGCGGGTGCCAAGCCGGGACCCTCGCACGCAGAGGAGAAGATGCGTTCGAGGGTAATTGATTTTTTTTTTCCAAGCATCCGGAGAAGATGGCACCATGGCATAGCTCCACAGGATTGGTGATGTCCTTGAGACGTGGAAAGCGTGTCCTTTTAGCACTAATAAAAATTGCGCCTGTTTTACCTCATTTGGGCAAGATTGGCTCGTGTAAGACAAGCCGCACGGGTAGCGAGAGATGATTCACAGACTCCGGTCTGTGGAAGCAAAAACATGGCTTCATCTATTTCAAACGGAGAGTCTCCATCGAACTCTCCATTATCTAAACACAAAAGCAGACGTACAACTCTGGCTGATTATTTGCCCGCCGGATCTATAATGTGTCTGCTTAGTAAAGCAGCAACCCAAGTAAGTGGACCTGATCCTAATAGCCGCAGTAATGGAGCCGTGTGAATTTCAGGGTAAACAGCGTCGCTATTGTGTGGTAGCACCAGCAGCCACATGTACAATTATATCTACAAGATTATCTAACTAGAGGAAGGTTTTAAAAAAAAATGCCTTGAGTCTAGAAATAAAGTCTCAAAATAAAGCAGCAGCTGTCTTCTGGGTCCTGGGGGTCCAGCACTAGGAGAA